TTACAAATAAGTTACCTATTCTGAAACAAATAAACCTTAATAATCAGTAAATGTAATGAATTTGCCTTGAGCTTCTATGATTGTTGAGCGGAGCGAGCGAAGCTCTTTGAGATCGGACCTTATGCAAACTATGTAATCAATTAACTCAATAACGGCTGAACATATTGAATCCAAACTTACCAGGGGTATTTCGACAAATATTTTTGATGTTTCGAAACAAACAAATTTTAATTTGATGATACCTGTACAATTTAAGACTGACATAAAATTTGCAATGTTTAACATGAGTCTTATGAGTTGCCAGGATGGTTACGAGATAACAACGTAGATGTAAACAAAAACAAAGAATCGTAGCGTATGCGACTCGAAATTCTGTACCCACGGGCACCTCAGCTTGCACATGCACATATGGCCTAAAGACAGTACAAAAGAAAAGGAGTCCGATGAATACCATTAAGCGTTGATTAACAATACACCGATTCGCATAATTTCTGGCGGCCTTACTGAATTATTCCAAGCAGATTATTTCTTTTAATTGTTGTTATTAGTTTTGTGGTAAATATTAGTCCGGAGTGTGGTAACTGTTTATGACGATTAGATTATGGTATCTGTTATCCTAAAATGCTATGGGAAGGGAGGGAAACAGGTCCGCGACGTAGTAAGTCGTGGAGGAAGCAGTAAAGGTGAGCGGTCCGGACTGTGGGAACTGTTTATGACGATGATTAGATTAAGGTCTACAATCCTAAAATGCTATGGGAAGGGAGGGAAACATGGTCCGCGACGAAGGAAGTGGTGAAGGAAGTAGTAAAGGTGAGTAGTCCGGAGTGTGGGAACTGTTTATGACGATTATATTAAGGTATCTACAATTCTAAAATGCTATGGGAAGGGAGGGAAATAGGTCCGCGGCGTAGGAAGTGGCGAAGGAAGTAGTAAAGGCGAGTAGTTCGGAGTGTGGGAACTGTTATGACGATTAGATTAAGGTATCTACAATTCTAAAATGCTATGGGAAGGGAGGTAAACAGGTCCGCGGCGTAGGAAGTGGTGAAGGAAGTAGTAAAGGCGAGTAGTCCGGAGTGTGGGAACTGTTAATGACGATTAGATTAAGGTATCCACAATCTTAAAATGCTATGGGAAGGGAGGGAAATAGGTCCGCGGCATAGGAAGTGGCGAAGAAAGTAGTAAAGGCGAGTAGTCCGGAGTGTGGGAACTGTTAATGACGATTAGATTAAGGTATCTACAATCTTAAAATGTTATGGGAAGGGAGGAAAACAGATCCGAAACGTAGGAAGTGGTAAAGGAAGTAGTCAAGGTGAGCAGTCCGGAGTGTGGGAACTGTTTATAAGGATTAGTTTAAGGTATCTGCAATCTTAAAATGCAATGGGAAGGGAGGGAAACACGTCCGCGACGTAGGAAGAGGTGAAGGAAGTAGGAAAGGCGAGCACTGTGGAGTCTGGGAACTGGAAACCAATTGTAACAGTTCGATTTCTGTATTTGAAATTGAAATACTGAAATGCTATGAGATGGGATGGAAAGATGTCCAAGACATAGGAAATGGTTAAAGCATTAGTAAATGCTAGCAGTGCGGAGTGTGGGAAATGTTGTTGGCAATTAGATTAATGCATTTAAAATACTAAAATGCAATGGAAAGAGATGAAAACATGTCCAGGACGTAGGAAGTAGTAAAGTTTAGCATCGCAGAGAGTGGGAACCTTTTGTGGCAGTTAGATTAATGCATCTGTAATACTTAAATGCTATGAGAAGGGAAGGAAACAAATACGTAGGAAATGGTGAAGGAAGTAGTAAATGCTGGCATCGCAGAGAGGGGGAATGATTTTCTCCGAGCAAAGCTCGGTCTCCAGGTAGGTACTTAGTTTATAAACAGTAAAAGAGAGTATTCAAATTGAAAACTATAGAAACTGTATTTCCGAAGCAGGAATTCAGTATTTTCAAATATTATTATCGGTAGCCTATCCTAAATAAATACAGTGATTTGCGCTGGGCTTGCACACTAAAGTCCAGTTGCGACTACAATAAAAAAATAATCACCTAGGATTTTATTAAGTCCACTTTAACTAAGGCGTGTAAATAATTGGTTAGGCTTGTACAGTTACGATTACGATGCGTAGGCCTAATGCCTAGACTGCTAGGCCTATACAGAAGTTCACTTGTAGCTATTTATTATAATTAAATATTTAACTAAACTTGTTAACTTGAGTTGTCCAATTTATAACTTATAAGTGTGGAAATAATTTTCTCTGTGCAGATATACAGACACAGTTACAATTACACGTGCCAATGTTGTAAATATATATTCAGTAATTTATGTCTGTTTGTTTAAATGTATATATTTTTTATTTGAAAGTCTGACGCCATCAATCCCTTTTGGGTAAAAGATGAAGATAATAAGGTAATAATTACAAAAAGTAGAGCCTAGACTGCTTGGCCTGTACGGGAGTCCAGTTATAAAATAAGCGTGATATAATATTCCTATTTTTTCCCGTAATACTATAAGATGAATTATTACAGCTAACAGAACAGCATGTTGGCATTTTTATGACAGGTTGAACATTTAGTACAACCCAATAAATAGGCTTTACATCAACACAGTGCAGGTTCTCAAATTAAATTGCCATAGCCTAATACAAAAACGTCTTTTATATTTGATTTTAATAATTTTGTTGTACAGTAGTTTATTATGCATATACAGTAGGCTATTTTACTTAATCATGCTGTAATTTAGCATGAGGAATAAATATACTCTTGTTTAATTCATCAATTCTCTATCCAGTGCCGTCTTTAAAATCTAATCTATTTATTGAGTACAGTAGGCCTAGGCCTATTTTGGCAATGGGGCGGAGCTAGCGCAAACGTCACCAATTCAGTGACACTAGCGTCGCGGCAACCACCATCTTTTTCAGGGTATCATCAGCTCGTGAAATTAGCCACGCCTTATTTCCTGTGGTGAACATTGACTATGGTATTGCTATATATAGTCACTATCTTCTGTCATTCTGTTCGCTGAGCAAAGTTTACTAATTGGCTAAATATTTTAGTTGGAGAAAATGAGAAGGAAGCCTATAGGCCTATTACATAAATGGGAGCTAAACAAACATTAGGATATTGACAAAATAATACCGTACTTATCTTCATGCTATTACAAACACACAGTTTTACTATTACTCATATATACAAGTAAAAATAAATGACCTAATAGAAACAGCTGACTGGATTCATATTTCCTTCAACTCTTCCAACCAACCACGATAATTCAATTGGATTGTTGTTATGGTGACGTCATCATATATTCAATTTGAATCATGAAAACAAATGGTAAATATGCATTTTAGGGTTTGCACGCGATTTTTGAAATTTTTTTTTTCATTCTACTCGAAATTTAACGCTGATTCCGAAAATGACGTTCTTTTTCCGCGGAAAACGACCATAACGCGGAAAAACGACCAAAACGACCAAAAACTCTTTTTTTACCAAAACACGTCATGTGGGTACTCAAATTAACCGTAATATTAAGCAGATCACGACTATGCAAGAATTTTTTGGATCCGAGGTCAAATAAGCGAGATTTTCACGTAAATATGCGATGCTATTTTGGATTTTTTGCTCTAACTTTTGTCTGTGTTATCTGGTGTTTATGTTTTAATTTAACAGGTAAAAGGGATGATACTATGCATAACCTAACTTAACCTAACCTACCCTAACCTAACCAACCTAACCAAACCTAACCTAACCAACCTAACCTAACCTAACCAACCTAACCTAACCTAACCAACCTAACCTAACCAAACTGACCTAACCTAACCTAACCTAATCAACCTAACCTAACCTAACCAACCTAACCTAACCTAACCTAATCAATCTAACCTAACCTAACCTAATCAATCTAACCTAACCTAACCTAACCAACCTAACCTAACCAACCTAACCTAACCTAACCAAAATAACCTAACCAACCTAACCTAACCTAACCTAACCAACCTAACCTAACCTAACCTAACCAACCTAACCAAACCTAACCTAACCAACCTAACCAACCTAACCTAACCTAACCAACCTAACCTAACCTAACGAGCAACATGGCAGTGCTACTACAACCAATGAATAGGTTGGTACTGAAAAATTTCCCAATTTCAAGCATATCTCCCATAATTCTCCCGACTAACTACCCATTATTTTTTACACATTAAATTACAACGATAAACCACGTTAGATGTCTCCCCCACCCAAAACCCCGAATTCCCACCTGTCCCCTAGTGAGTTGGAGTTATTGCTGGTAGTATCACGTTTTCGTGAATATCTCGCTTATTTGACCTCGGATCCAAAAAATTCTTGCATAGTCGTGATCTGCTAAATATTCCGGTTAATTTGAGTACCCACATGACGTGTTTTGGTAAAAAAAGAGTTTTTGGTCGTTTTGGTCGTTTTTCCGCGTTATGGTCGTTTTCCGCGGAAAAAGAACGTCATTTTCGGAATCAGCGTTAAATTTCGAGTAGAATGAAAAAAAAAAATTCAAAAATCGCGTGCAAACCCTAAAATGCATATTAACCAAACAAATTAAAGTTATTTGTTTATATCAAAGCTTGCTTACTCCGCTCAATTGGCGGACCTGAGGCCGCATGCCTAGTATAACTTAGGCTAATTTGAATTTTTGGGCTAAGCTCACCTAGGCCCTAGGCTTTCATATGCAGTCTCATTTTATAAGTTTGATTCAGTAAGTTAAGTAGGCCTACAGGCATTGCTAATAAAATAAAAATTGTAACTTAATGTTCATTACTACCCTAGAATCCTAGCCTATATTAGCAAATAAATTAGGTTAATGGTCATAACGCGATTAAAACAATGAATTATTAGAAACAAAATTACATAACATAAGTTAGGCTAGGGCCATATGAAAAAAGACACTTGGGCTTAGGCGCAAATCTTGATACAGCCTAAGTTACTAAAACTAAAATGGTGAAAAGGCATGTTCAACATTTTTTACTTACCTCCAAGAAAAGTTTAAAATTTAGCTCAACTTCCCAGATCAAATACACAACACGACAACACCCAACTTGTGTGTGGTGGATTTAGAGGATTTGATTTTGATTTAATTAATAATATTTTGAATTCCACACCCAGACTTCAATATCACTGCTGCTAGTGGTAGTGCTAGAATAGAACTAGACTAGAACTTGCTTGGATAAGCATCTAGAGACTGCCAGTGCCAGTGCAACTCCGAGGAACGAGGATCAGATCGGAAAACCCCCCACCACCGCTCAGTGCCGATGGCGTGACGTCAACGTCGTCAACCATTACCGCAATTGCAATTATACGGAACTGAGTCATGAGCCTTGGTGGTGTTGTGGATAGCGTGTCGGGCTGATTATCGGAAGGTGCCGGGTTCGAATCCCACTAATAGCACTAACTTTTTGTCAACAATTTTTTTTCATATCAGCAAGTTTGGTTGGTTTGGTTAGGTTATGACAGTTTAATTTTATAATTTAAAAATTATAAAATTGAATTTGAGACATTTATTTTATAATTAGAACAGAACTATTTTTTCGATTAGTAAACCTTCATCCGAGTTTTTCATTATCAGCAAGTTTGGTTCGTTTGGTTAGGTTATGACAGTTTAATTATATTTAATTTAAATTTGACCTACAAATGATACGTTTTGACAGCAACAGTGATAGAGATAACAATTTTAGCGTCTCTGATCCTCGTTCCTCGGAGTTGCACTGGCAGTCTAGACGCTAGTCTAGCTTAGCTAGAAGTGCCAGTGCCGCTAGTGGATCTCTGCTGATGTCTGCTGAAGTGCTGAGTTGAGTGCTGAGGTGCTGAGCTGAGTGCTGATCCGATCCGCTGGTCCATTCCACTGACTGATACTACTGATAGTGAGTGACTCGGTGACTCTGGCTGGACTGGACTGGATAGTGCTGGCGCTGGCTGAAGCTGAAAGAAAGTGCTGAGGCACGCTGAGCTGAGCCGCTGAGCTGAACTGCTGCTGAGTGCTGATGACTCAGACTCAGCTGTGGGCTGTGGTGGGTGGAGTGGTGTGGTGTGATATGGGATGGAATTTTGGAACTGGGATGGAAGGAAAATGGAAATCTGAGTCTGAGCAGGTAGACCACAGACCCATCAGTGCCCCCCAGTGCCAGCGAGAGACGACCAAAAATCAGAATCAGGCCCAAACGGAAAAGCCGAAAAATGCAGGAACAAAAATCTTTTTTGCAGTGAGAACAGTGCAGCAGCAGGCGTGATTTTGAATTTTGCTTTTTTTAAGAGTACAATGAAATGATATTTATTCATCTATAAACAATATTATATAAACGCATGATACAAAGTAAAATTATACAAAAACATGCTGGTAGAAGCACAAGTCAAGTTCAGTCAACTAAAAGTAAACAATTAGTGTACAAGGTTTTTTTAGGACACCTAAACTTACACTTCATACAAATGAATAATGGTAAAAGCAAAAGAAAAAAACATCAATCTTGAACAGGGGGTTTCTGACAAGCCGTTCATAAATATTGCATTCTTAAAACTATTGTAAGGGAGTTGAATTATTCTTGGCGATAGTTTGTTCCACAACTTTTTACCAATAATAATATATGGCTTCTTTTAATCTTTTCCAGTCTTGTTAAAGAGATGTCAAGGTTTTCTCCTTTTCCTAGTGTCTAGGCAATGAAAATCACCCCTTTAGAGCAAATTGGTGTCATGCAACTTAAAACTAGATAACAATACATTATAAATATAATGGTTTATCACAGACAAAGCGTTAAAGCATTAATATATAATAATTTCATCGTTTAAATCATGTACAATGTCTGTCGAATATCTGTCGATGCAATGGCATTTTGGTGATAAGGGACCTCGCTGGTTGGGCGAAAACATAGATTAAACATACTTGAGGAGTATGTTTAATCTATGGCGGAAACCACCAGATGATATTAGCAAGTAAAACGGAGTGGTGGAGTTAAAGGCGGCCGTGGGTAAAACCATAGATAAAACATACTCCCTTGAGGAGTATGTTTTATCTATGATTAAACATACTCCTTTCCCCTGTGTTTTATCATAGATTAAACATAGGAGTATGTTTAATCTATAAAAAAACACTGGGAAAATACCGATAAAAATAATTATGCAATTATGCATGTAACGTCCACATCTTTACTTATGGAACTTGTGATAGATGTTGATAGTTTTGAGGGAAACTAATAAGTTAAATTGATGAAATAAGTTGTATTTTGTATTCTATATATTTTTTATTGCTTTATTAAAAACCATGAAACGTGATCGCTCCGCTCAACTGGCTTTCACTGCTATATCAAAGCATCATTGTATTAGTAGGCTAGTTTATATTATTTAGTTTTTCGTAAATTCTTTAACAACTGTCACTGGTAAACTGTCACTATACTACCTACTACCAAAGATCACGCTTTTGCTTAGCATTTGTAATATTTGCTACTACAGTATTAACTCACTTCTCTTCTCTAATACTTCCACTACTATAGCGCTGGGGAGTGAGCTGGCGGGAGAGCGAGCTGGCGTAGTGGTTAGAGCGCGGGACTTCAGTCCCTGGGGTCCCGAGTTCGACAGATTGGAACCTCGAGAAAGGGGTGGTGCCAATCTGTCGTGGTGCCAAGCTGACGGCGGCCACAGAGGTGCCAATCAGTCGTAACAGTACACGACAGATTGGAACCTCGAGAACGGGGTGGTGCCAATCTGTCATGGTGCCAAGCTGACGGCGGCCGCAGGGGTGTCAATCAGTCGTAACAGTATACGACAGATTGGCACCCTTGCCCTCAATAGGCCCTCCTTTTCGTTTTACTTACTAGTCTGATGTTTTAAAACAGAAACGTGTCAATAGTTGACATTAACTTTAACAGCACAAACCGCTTCGTAAATGGTCCATCTAATCAAAGTTACAGTTCCTCAAGGATTTTAATATTATGCCATTTAAATCAAGTTTAAAATTTGGAAAACGTCTGATACCTAAGTAATTAAGTTGTTGGCACAATTGAATGAAACCTTGCAGTCATGTTTTGGGAGGGGGGTAACCTGGTTAAAAAAGGTTTATTAATTCAGAAGTTACAGCTTGTTAAAGATATGACAATTTACCATTCAGTTTACTAATATTATTTCAATAAAATTGTATTTTTCATGCATTATGGAGTAATAAATTATTATACAGGGTGTCCCGGAACTCTACCAATATTTTAGGGAATTGTTCCTGGGTATCATATTTAAATTGTCCGGAAGTCTTTAGTTACTCACATAGCCGCCATTTTGTTTTTTTCACTTATTAATTTATTTCTGAAAAGTGGTTAAACATACGAAATTGAAACTTTGCAAAAACGTTTATGACAACTAGACAAAGCTACACACAAATTATGAAAATTTTTAAAATTCATAAAACAAAATGGCGGCTATTTATAATTTTGTTTCTTAAATAACTCGAAAACCCTTGATTTTACCAAAATTTTACAAGCATAACTTTTTTAAGGCATTTCAATTACAAATCGAGTGACACCTTAATCTTTAAGATTGGACGAATATTAACTGAGATATGGCAGCTTTAGTGATATGTAGCCGCTGGAGGTTAGTTGCAGTGCGTGAAGAGCATGGTCACTTTTATTGGTATTATTGGTAGAGAGTTCCGGGACACCCTGTATATTTGAGATGCTGTAATTTATAACTTAATTTAATTTTTTGTTTTTGTAACCAGGATTGTGGTTGCGCGCAAGTAGGCTTGCGTTAATTAATTACAGTACTTCCTTCGTGGACCAAAACTCTAAAATCAGGTAGGCTAATAACTCGAGGTATGGTTACACTTAAGAATTTCAATACTTCCACCGTGGAACGTGCTTGGTGATGTAAATGAATGTGAACTACGCAAAATCATCCCTAATTTTCGTAGATACACAACTGTGAAGTTTATTTTTTAACTGTATATTATTTTGTAAATATTTTGTATTCCATACTTTTGTCTAACCCTGCATTTCTTTATGTCAAAGCTTTTTAAAACAGCTTTTGTTAAAACATCAACGTATCCGTTTTATAAGTAATACTTTAGCGGTTACCTACGGCTTCACACGATTTGAGAATAAAATTTTACGAGTACCAAAATTTGCATATTTCAGCGCGCACTCAAATTTTAAGTAGCCGGAAAATCAGTTTCGGTACAAGGCACAAGGTATTACTTACTGCAATACTTTTCATCACTACGCCACAAATAATCACCTAACAGAACAACAGAACACAGTAAATGTACATAAGTCTGCAAATTATGCTTTTATGCTTCGTAAATGGTTTATTAAGCTATACAATTCTCTGAATATGCAAATTTTCTGAAATGGGGTTATTTAGGCGTAAAATTTACGTGGATTAAAATATATAAAGCTATGGAAATTGAAAGTGGTCGCCATTATGGATTTTATTCTGCCTCATATCAGGACTTTAAGAGAAAATACTTTTAAATACTGTACTTTCTTAGTACACATCTAGATATAGGCTACAGACCATGATAAGCATATGTATTTATATATATATAACAAAGTCGTTTTAGTTAAACAGTTTAACTCGAGACCAACTGGATCGATTTTAATGATTTCTGATTTTTTGTATTTGTATTTAACCCGATTAACACATGCATCTTCAGTTCAGTATATAAATTTAGGGCTAAGCCCCACATATGTATGTTATGCATATGAAGAAAAATATGATGCATTTTGACCATATCCATACATTAATTTAAATATTTTCGAAACAAATGATTATAAAGTTGACAAATAATCATTTTCAGCTGTTTCATGTTGCCGGTGATTGTTTTGAAAAAGCTTATAAAGGTTGCCGGTTGATTTGTTTTTTTTCTTTTTTACTGTTATGGGGTACAAAGTTCGCTGGATCATCTCGTTTGTAATGTACAGTTCGCTCAACGTTTCTGTGAACATAAGAAACAATCAAATTATACTTATTATTTTTCGTGTTAACATTAACATTTAGCAAACTAGTTTCAAATTTAAAAATCAAAAGCTCGGCCGATAAGATTTAACTTTGGAATATAAATTACAAGTAAACCAGCTGGGGGTAATCAAAGTTCTGTGACAAAGCCATATGGCATATGGCTCTATGACACATGACATATACATTGTACGAGTATAACTATCGGGATTATGGATTTTTTACTGATGTGGAGATTGCCCTGCAATGCAATTTGTAACATGTCGCTGATTTTCATGTGAATTTGCATGTATTTATGGAATCCTGATCAACAGGAATAACAAAAACTAGCAAAATGAAAATACTACTATAAGCAAAGCTTTGTCCCAACAGTACTTTACAAATATTATGAATGAGAAACAGATGGTGTGTTGTAGTTAACTGAACTGTCATTAATAAAAAACGACTCCAAAATGCCTCAAGGGTCACAGCACTGACGCTAATTTTGTTTTATGGCCTTTTCCTATTTCTAAAAAGGATTATCTTATAAAAGGTGCTTGAAAAAATGTTTGAAACCCTCCCAGTGTGGAGTTTTCTGGCTTTCTCAAATTAATTCTCTGTAGGTCCGCTCGTTTATCAATGTCAATGTCGATGTTGAAGACAAAATTGACCCGGGCGCAGGCCGAAAGCCACGAATGTTTATCTCTATAAGCTGGGGGGACGTAAGCCACGGCAATTAGGGAGGGTTTGAGAAATTATAATCCTGGGGACGAAAGCCAAAGCCACGACGGCGGGCCAGGTAGTTGGGAGGGGCGAGGGAGAAACGGGCATCTCTCACATGAACATGACAATTATAATATACAAAGATGGACGCAACTATTTTACTAAAGCTGTTTGATGATATTTCAATTAATTTTCAAATAAAGTTGTAAGAGCTAAAAATAACGAAGGAGCAGACAAATGAACCCCTAATAACATGTATCATGTACCATGTATATTATGACTGTTAATAACTTAGTTAATTCTTTTGCTGTTTTAGTCTCTTTTCCTGTTGAATCAATATCAATTATTTAAATTGAAAGATTAATTAAAAATTATATAATTGGTTTTAAAACATTTATAATTTTATTTTATGAACAGAACTATTTTTGTTATTAGTAAACCTTCATTCGATATTTTGATTATCAGCAAGTTTGGCTAGGTTATGACAGTTAAATTAATTTAAATTTAACCTACAAACGACACGTTTTGACAGCGACAGTGATAGAGATAACAATTTCCCACGAACAGTTCGGATGCATTGCACGGTATGATGCGTTCTGCACGGCGCGGTGGTGGGCGGTGGCGGTCTGTCGGTAACGTCTTGTCAACACTAACACTTCAAACAAACAAAAAAACAAAACAACTGTCAATTGTCAAGTCGAAGTCAATCAAAGAAGATTGTGTTGAAGGTCTTGAATTTCAATAGAACTTTATTTGTTGTGATTTAGATATGTTTACATAATTTTATTCTTAGCAATCCGCTAGAATTAACAAGCAAGATAGAATATTACTACATTTTTATTTTATCTCTTGCTTTAAGTCCTAATCAATGTCACTAACAAATTAAAATTTATTTGAGGTTATGTTTAATCTTTATTTACAACTGTTGATTTAAGGATCTCTCTAATTGCTTTATTACTGTTTAACAAGAAGGCTTCTAGAGATTTGGACAAGATCTCAAAGGTAAAAAATTAAGGTGTAAGTTGAAACTTTAAAATTTATATTTTAAATAGGCCTATCCAAACACTTTTGTTCCTGTAGCTGAGAATACCTACAAACATAATTGAACTTGGGCATGAGCCAGGCTGGTAAATAGCTCAAGTGTAATTGAACCACATTATCACATCTAATTTTTTTTAGTCACATTTATGTTTTTTTTAATGAAATTCTAAATTTTCTAGTAGGCCTACATGTAGGTGATGAGTTGTTAATCTAGGAAGAAAACAGAGTACCATAGGCCAATAATTGTTAAGAGTAACTTAAGTTAAATGCTTTCTAACTTCTAAGCTCAATTGATAACACTTTGACCTACTACTTTCTTCATCGTATTGTAATTGTGCTAGATTTATAATCTTTAGGCTACTTAGTTTAATTTGCAATAGGCCCAGGCCCTTATTTAATATTTAAGATAAATAACTTCCTTGCTTCAAAGATTAACCCTAAACAATAGACAATAGACCATTTATTTATTGTTCAGTAATTTACAAAATTAGGCTACAATGGATTTTGTAAAAAATTGTATTTTCCTGTAAAGGGTAGGCCTACATTCATTATTATCGAATGTTCCCTTTAACAGGAAAGTAGATACAGTGGAACCTTGATAAGAAGACCCTCGATAACAAGTCACCCTTGATAATGAGTGTCATTTTCAAATCCCCTTGAATTTATTTTACCCCTAATCACATGTTATTGCAAACCTCAATAAGGAGTCGACCTTGATAACAAGTCTCATTTAATAATCCTCTTGAGAGTCTTGTTAAATCAAGGTTCTACTGTACCAGTAAGTTACAAAAAAATATATATAGCCTATAGTACAAAGGCTAATTTTTAAAATCTATATAATTGTTTATGAATTTAACAGCAAAGAAATCATTTAGGCTTATATTGTAAATTGAATTGATTTTACACCTCTTTAACAGTTTGTTCTAAACACAACTAACTAATCTGGAAATTTGAAATGAAATGAAATGTCTTTATTGCTTTAAACATCATATAACATGCATTGCAATCGTCAAAATACTTAGATTATAAAATAAGTAGCATATATCATACAGTGCAAACCATGCAAAAACACTCAAACTTAAGTTAGAAAGAACAAAACCATGCTTTTTACTCTAAAATAAAACAATCCTGTTGAGGCAAACAAACCAATCTACTTACACAATAGGCATTTAACCCTTTGCGGTCTGTATTGGTGTCTCTTTAATGTCCTTTCAGGTATATTAGACCACTCGTGGTGCCCAGAACCATTCCTCAGTCAATTATTGGCGTTTATCCCCACGTCCCTCAGATACATTAGGCCAGTCAGTGTGCCCACTAGCGATATGCTTGAACAGTCTCTAGGCCACTCATAGTGCCCAAGTTAGTTTATTTGTCTCTAAAGACATTATCATTCTGTAGTTCCCAGAAAGATGCTGCACTCTGCTCAACGTTTAAATTGACTAAGCTATATTACAAAAATGTGTCTGGCCGTCTGTTTTTGGAATTACACTCAATGGGCACTACGTAGTGTTATATAGTCAATGGCAGCGGTTCTCATTGGGTCCAACTTATACTATCTTAAATATTATCATGTTCTTGCAGTCAGAATATTGTGTGTTTAGTTTGATTTTTATATGAGTTGTGAAGTTAATTTATAATTGAAATATGAATTCTGACTATAAAAGGGATTTACTGGATGACGTTTTGGGATTCCATATCAAGTACTTTTTTGTGTTTTAAACTTTTTCAGTTAGATGAACATACATCTTATTTTAAATGTAATAAACTGAAATGTTTATTCAATCTTTACTTTAATCGCAGGTTTTATATGTTTACTTTACTTAGTCAAACGAGTTTCCAGAAACAGCTATACTTATACTGAGGACAGCTGTTCAATATGGCATCACACCTGACGCCAAAACAACAGTGGGCATTCTAAGTGGCCTAGCGTACCTGTGAATACAACAGGGTTAATTTCGATGCCATATCTAGCTTGAAATAGTCAGTGGGCACTAAAAGTGGCATATAGACCGCAAAGGGTTTAGGTCTTACAAAGTAAATCTGCAGGCTAGCCAGGCATAACTTACATCAATATGGAACAGTACGTAACAAAATAACTTGCTCAGTAAATTAATAGGTAGCCTACTAAAGAGAAACTAACTTATTTTACACGTATCTTGAAATATTGTCCTGGAACCCAGTGACAAGAATTGCAGCCAAAGAAGTTGTAAAAATCCATACTTAGTGGTAGGTGAATTGGACAGCTTTGTTTCTAATCAAGCTACTATTTTTTCAGATATAGTAGGCCTATAAATACAACAAAACGAGTGATAATGATTGTTTATGAAAAAACATGGATACCTCGAGTATTGATGTTACAAGTTTAAAGCAAGAACCAAGACTTAACCCAGCGGTTAGTTTCTCAAATGAATGCAATGAAGTGAAAATTGACGAGGAAGATTTAGAAGAGGAAGATGACATTCAAATCTCTTTGGCACCGTACATTCAGGTGTATCTTGCTCACAGCAGCCAACGAGTGCAATGTTGTGGCTTGTCCTTTCCAATACCCTTCGAGCGTGCTTCGGCCCGATCCTGGTGGGATCCAAGATTTGACTCAGAAATACTAGAAAAGCAGTATAAACTCAGTGCTTTCCCACAAATCAGACTCAGATTCAGGTAGATAAATTTTGTTTGGCATTATATTTTTACACACTTATTTTAGTTTTAAATCTGTTCTCTTATAATTGAATATCTAGATTTTAACCTTTTTAGCCTACTCTGTTTAATGCAAAACCCTTTGCTCACCTAAGGATTGACGTACGATGAATAATCATTTATAAAGAAAACACCTCAATATAGTTTTCTTATTTGTTTGCCGAAAGACTGTTTCCTGATATACATAAATAAACAGTCATATGTTTTTCAATTGTTTTTGGTTAAAAACAAATGATAGGCTAGTTTAAGTGTGTTGTTTTGATGAATGAAATAAAGAAGATGGTTTTTTTGTTAAAAGTAAAGTAAGTAAGTAAAGTAAGTCGCGCCTTACTTTTTCACACAAGTAGTCGCGTGGGGTCTAGTTGACCCCAAGTGAAATCATACTAATATTATAAAGCTGTTATTATATATATACATATTATATATTAGGCCTATATAATATATTATATATACATATTATATATTAATATATTATATACATATTATATATTATATAATATATTATATACATATTACCGTATATATTTTATATATAATTATAGTTTGTCAAAGCAATATTTCTTCAAGTAAGTAACTTCTAGAAAGTAACAATGAATGGTAAATAAAACCGGAAATAAGGAAACTATTATTTATTTTACATTTTCAAAAATGATGTCCTACAAGTTTGAGCGTGAAAAGGATATTTTATGACAATGATAAAGAACAAAATATTGTTGAGCTGTTACCTAGGTCCTTCTTCACTCTGAGTCGTCTGACAGAAGAATCATCACTGAGCATTGCTCACATGATGTTTTCATGTGCGATAGACACATTGCTTCTTGGCACTTTTCACATCTATACTTTGTTTTGTTGTCCTTATTTCTGGGACAAACAGTACATCACACTCTTGCATTTGGCGCTGCAACTGTAGCTGGGGGAGGTTGGACTCGTGCAACTTTGCAGACTGAAGCTCGTAGAGTTTTAAGCAGAGATGAAGTGGAGGCTCGTTTTGCTACCTGATGCTTGATCAGTGACAACCCCAGTTCTTTCAAAAACAAGAAGATTAGGTTCTGTTTTACCCTCTGTTTGATTGGTCAAGTAAATTACTTGAGCGTTTATACACCCTATGTCCAAAAGTCGGTAGAAAAGAACCAAAGGCCATCACAAGCACCTCCTTGAAGTCGAGTATGTTCCACATTTCTCATCGATCACATCAACTCCAGATTTAGTCTGATTATAAAATACTATAATCTCTGGTTTTTTTTGGTCTCCTGTGTCTTCATCAATCACAGCGTCGTGATGCATGCTGGAAATGAGAACACACCAGTTCTTTTTTGGGGCATATGACACAATTGTCATGTTTTCTTTGAATCCAAAAATACTGGTATTTTCATCTCTTTTCTTGGAAACCATCTCTGGTGGAAGCTCTTGTTTGTCTTTCCTTACTGTTCCAACGTAAGTTACCTTTTTCTTTAGCAGTTCAGTAACCAGCGGTATGCTGGTAAACCAATTATCAGCAGTGATATTTCTACCTGACTCATGAATTGATTTTGAAATTCGCAGGACAACATCAAAAGGCGTATTAGACTGTTTATAGGGACTGTCATCAGGCTGGGTCCCTACGTAGATTTCCATAGCCTTTACATAAAACATTTTAGCATCAGTCAAAGTAAAAATCTTTATACCTTATTTAGCGGGTTTGCTTTTCATTAACTGGCGGAATGGGCATTGCCCTCTGAATGCAACAAGTTGTTCGTCTATAGTTGTAATACAATAAAAGGTTAAATTACCTGTGTTCGCCAGTCGATCCTTATGTGCTGTGTCCTATTACAGGAGTGTCCTGTAATAGGACACAGACTTAACCTTTTATTGTATGTCATACCGATCCGGAACAACAACAAACAACATAAAAATGAATATAGTTGTAAATTCACTGAGTGAATAGTTCTTCTCACAGTTATTATTAAATAAAGAAAATACCTCCCTGAAAGGAGCCAATTTGTCCATTGCTCTTCTTTCAGCCCGGTCATGGATGTTATCGAATCTTATGGTTCGGAGCAGAAATAAGAAGCGTCTCAAACTCATAGTGGATTAAAATACTTCTAATCCAAACCCATCTCGTGCCCAAAGATCTTGAAAATTTCGATGACCATCTCGTGAACATCCTGCCAATATTAGAAGACCAAAGAATGATTTCATTTCGACTATGTTAGTTGGCAGACAATCCCTCTCACGAGTAAACTTAGTAGAAACACTTCTTATAAAAACATTGGTACTTTCCACAATTATTTCAACTATTTGATCGTCAATCATCAAGTTAAAACATTCTGAAGGAGTCTTAGCGCATTTTGCTTGGTTGATTGGGCCTGGTAAGTGTTTTACAATATTTACTGCTAGAGATCGACTATTTGGACGAACGTAAGGGTCTCTCATCCAAATAGTTGATTCGTCTTTTCCAATCAAGTCTTGATCATTGTCATTAGGCATTTCCCCAGCACCTTGTACTACAGATTCAATTATGGCATCAAGGGAATCATTGTAAGGTAGGTAATCAAGGTCATTTAGCTCACCTGCTCCTCGCACTACTGACTCAATAGTATCGTCCAAATTACAAGCACGTACATTGTTGTGTAAATCTTCTTCAATACTCTCATCATCATCATCATCTTCACCACTTGGAGAGTAATCCGGGTCGTCGTCAGTGTCGTCTCCGAAGCCGATGCTAAAGTCTGAGTCTGTATTGTGTTTAGATTCACTCACATGGTCAATTCCGTCATGACCAATTTCGTCATGATCAGATTGCTGGGTTTCATAAAATAAATAATCATCATTACGCTCTGATGAAAGTTCTTCCAGCAGAAAAAAACGTATTCTTTCTTCTTGTTTCTCACGAGATTCCATTTGTACTTTCACTACTCAAAATCAGCGATGATATATGTATGTATATACAGTATTCACATAAACTGACAGCATTTATCCACACAACATTTTAAATTACACAACCACTCGCGTGGGGGTATGGCTGACCCAAGCAATACAAATCTAATAAAAACACAAGTAATCGCGCGGGGGCCTACTTGACCCTAAAATGTAACTTGACACCACTCCACAAGGAAGAGTCGCAGGCTACTGGTGAGTGTCATAGGATATGAGTCACACTTTGGTTGAAAGGTACTGAGCAGGTGAACAGGGTGGCCAACCCCCAGCTAGAGAAAAAACTTAATATCCCTACTAGGGGTCAGGTAGGCCCCCGCGCGACTACTTAAGGGTTAACATTTATTTTGTCATTTCTAATGTTTAATCGTCCGTGATATCAAATTAATTGAATCACGCACAGTGACGACAACAGGCTTAAGTAGAATCACCATTCAAAGTTTTAGGTGTAGGCAATACATTTTGCTCTTATAAGATTTAACAGTGATAATTGAGTGAATATATGCGCATATACATTTTGTTGTAAACTGTATCTACAAGCAAATTTATTTTTCAGATATTCCTTGCTGTACGTCTTTGTCGTTTCGTTGTTCTGGTGTGTGTACTTGGCGGTCAAAGCCGTTTATGAAGAGGGGAGAACAGAGTCATTCACAGTTGCTCTTATTTTCGGATCCTTCTCGGTATTTACATTATTTATTCTTCTTCTGACGAGGTCCACCCTGTATGCGAGGTTTCACCTGCCAGTCTCCATTATGACAGCCATTGTCATGTTTGCTCTTTCTTTACTATCAGTCGGCACCACTTCAGTTCTAACACCTGTTGGAGATTTTTCTTTATGTATCGAAATATTAATGATAATTTATACCGTAATCCCCCTTCCTCTTTACATTTGTGTCATATTAGGCATATCTTATTCTGTATTGTTTGAAATTTTTATCAGTTCCATATTTTCCATGCCTGTCAGAATTCTGTGTCATATATGTGTTCATCTGATTGGTATCCATATTTTGGTCATGACTAATGTGCGTATGCGAGGGACTTTCATGAAAGTGGGCCAGTCACTTCTGGTTCGTAGACAACTAGAGATGGAGAAACAACTCAAAGAGAAAATGATCCATTCAGTAAGTACCGGAATCTAAATATTTAAAGCAATGATTTAAATAAGTCATTAGACTACGACTGATGTTTTGGGGGCTCGCACAAATACATCCTTTCTAACAATTTTTTTTTCTGTCTGAAAAACAACTAAGTGAATATAATATCTAAACTATTAGAAGGGGATTCAATTATTAAAGAGACCAATTATTCGTCTGGGAGAAAAAATAAGAGACCTTCAAACACTTTCTGCTGAGGGATACGATTATGTCACTTGCATGTTATAGTTTAGAGTCAATGTTTTGTCCAATTTGTTATTGATTGTCAACTATGCGCTATGACTACACTACATGTGATACATATCACCATTGTTTTTTTCCTCTGTGAGAAGTAATAATTTTCAACGGAGTCTCCATTTGCCAACTATTTTAATTAGGCTAACAATGCTTTCTAAGAACAGTTCAATTTTAATTCTAACAAGACCCTTGATTCAATTTGACTGTCAAAAATAAATTACAAGTTTGTATACAAATAATCTGTAGTAGTGTCACTGGCGTTATGAACCCAAAATATAATATAATTCCTCCTTTTTGGTTCAACAAATGAAATTGAAATTTCAGGTCATGCCGCCAAAGGTTGCAGACTGGTTGATGTCTGAGGGTGTTAAGAGTGGCAATGAAGACGAAATGCAAAATGTCAGGGAGGGAGACATAAAATCAATATTTCGCCCGTTCAACATGCACAGAATGGAGGTATGTTTTCCATCAAAAGTTTTAAAACAAATTTTAAGTGACAGCAAAACACATCTGATAAGTCATGCACTGGTGGGACGAAGACAGGATGTCAAAAGCAACGAGTTGAAAAAGTGGGTCATCATTTTAATTCTATTACAGTAAAGTCTCGATTACCGTATCGAAGCTTTGCTCCAACCTTCGGTGTTATCCGACCCTCTCTGTAGATCTGTAGATATAAATTAGTCTAGTCTTTTAGTGCTTCAAAACTATGTTGAAATTACTTTGACAGATATTACCACTGTTCAACAATTATTTTACCATTCTGAAACTATGTTGTTACGTTGACTTTGTGCATGGGTTTCAGGATGTCAGCATTCTCTTTGCAGATATAGTCGGGTTTACGAAGATGAGTTCGACAAAGACTGCTGAACAGTTGGTGGCCATCTTGAACGATCTGTTTGAGCGGTTTGACGAGCTCTGTACAGCTAACGGATGCGAGAAGATCTCTACGCTGGGAGACTGTTACTACTGTGTGTCTGGTTGTCCAGAGCCGAGAGACGACCATGCACAGTGCTGTGTGGAGATGGGCCTGGGTGAGTATCATTGGGGTACCGCAAGCAGAGTTGGTAGTGCGGGGCGCTTTGCAAACATTCAGTGCGCAATACTTTTAATTTGTTTTGTCCAAAGCGACCCAACGGTGCGGGCCCTTTTCGGCCGCACCTTTCACACATGCCTAAGGCTGGCTCTTCCCAAAAGTAGACTTCTCTTATCCAATTTTAGAACCTGAAGTCTGTTTTTCAGTTCCTAAGTCTGTTGTATTTTCTATAGACACAATCCCTTCTAAAGGAAAATGGTGCTAAACACCCAAGGGTTTATGGGTAATCTAGGGATTGAATCTGTCTCTTTGCACAAAAGTCAGAAATACTAAACATTTATGAACAGTTAAATTAAATTTGAGTGCACTGATATCAATTAAATGTCTTCCCTTATTTCAAGTCTAATTTTGCATCAAAATCTCAGAATGGTAGCGGTAAAAGCCAAAAAGTTATATAGCCTCCCCGTAACTTACATATAACTCACAGTAATCTCTATGGTAGAGAGCACTAAGATTTTTTGTGATCAGGGCACATCTTAACAAATATGTTAAAGCAGCTATTTGTTTTCTTAATTTAGAGTATAAATGTTAAAAAGTCCAAGAAATAAAAATAAAAAACATCCTAGGCCTCAAGACTTGCTTGTTCAGGAAAGGTTAAATCATTTTCCCTCATTTTGTTCTATTTTGTCACAGGTATGATAGAGGCCATTGGTCAGTTTGAAGAGAAGAGTAGAGAGGGTGTCAACATGCGCGTGGGTGTCCACACTGGCACTGTGCTCTGTGGCATCGTAGGCACCAAGAGGGTGAAGTTTGACGTGTGGTCTAATGACGTGACCCTAGCCAACAAGATGGAGTCTACTGGCAAGCCAGGCATGGTACACCTCTCCGCCAAGACCAAGGAGTACCTCAGTGACAAGTACATCCTGGAAGAGGGCGATGTTTACCAAGGTTTGTAGCAATCTTGTTTATCAACAACTATTGAATCTGTATGTTTGGGAGATTATAGTTGTTGAACTTGTGAAAATACTGGCTGAAGTTTCGGATGCTCAAGCTACAATTCGAAGCCCTGAAGTTGTTTGCACCAACTACCCAAAAAAGTCTCTTTTAGTAATTTAACCAACCACCAAAATAAGTCTACCAGTATTTTAACTAATCACCAAAATAAGTCTACCAGTATTTTAACCAATAAATTTATGGCTCACTTCCTGAGGACCAAGATTTTTTAAGTCTATAGTCATGTTCTGTAGAAGACAGTGACTTTTGAAAACCAAAAAGTACGTTGGTGTGCAATAATTAACTACAAAGAAACGTAAACTTGATATTTGTATATTTTTCAGGACTTAACACATACTTTGTAAAAGGGCGAAAGTTCAAGAAAGAGACAGTTAAAAGCCTGACAGTGCCTTCTATACAGACTAATCACTCATCCCCTGGTCAGCCACGGAGATCTTCTATCTCTCTCGCCACCGCCATCTCAATCCACATCAATCAGACAGCAGCTCTAGAGGAGGCGTTGGCTGGATCTCAGACTCTCTCTCTTCGCACGCCCTCCCCTCCCTCGCCTCTCCCCTCCCCTACAGATCAGTACACAGTGTTCCCCTTCCCCTGTGGCAAACACAGCTTGTCTCCTCCCGCCGAATTAGTCGCTGGATCGTTTCCTTCACCAATATCAAGGTAAATTTTGTTCAAGAAAGGCTTTAGGCCAGGATTTTCAATTGTAGGATAAAGGGTATATTAGCTAATTTACCTTAGAAGTACAGGCAGGTCATAGAACACTCAGAAGACACAATAAACACACAATATTTTGTCAGAGTTAACAAAATGGTTGCTCTCATGGCTGTTGCCAAATAACTGCAGTGTTTCCACTTAACTTATCACTAGTTTATTCACAACCATGTACAACTTATATTTATATTCACATATATACGCTAGGCCTATTATGAACTTTGTTAGCTGCTTTGGAAAGGTTAACCTTATTTTGATGGTCTGTCTTTCTTTTTCATTAATATTGAATTTTAGCCTCCTGACGGCGTTTGAATACAATAAATTGGTATAAAATACCTGCATCTAGGTGACTATGTGTTGCGGTATGGCAACTAGTCTCGAATCACTTGACTCATCCTCAGGCCAGTATTAAGATATCTTCTTGCTTCTTTGAAGTCAATTAATAATAAATAAAATACACAGGTGTACACAGATGTAAAACACGGACATTTAGGTATAATACTGAACTTTCCTTTTCCTCTGTGTCTTTCCTAGCACCATTAGTCAGTTTGAGATATTTTGGGGAAACCATTAAATAAGAGTAACAAGACATCGCTTTGAATGTATTTTTCCCCTGAAATTTTTTTTTTACTTTTATTTTTATTATTCTCATTTTCATTTCCATTGCAGGTCACGATCCCCGATCCTGCGTGTGCTGCACCCGTGGAAGGCCACATCTCTGCCCAGTATCCTGGATACAGAAGGGGCTGACCATCCGGACGTGGTGCCCACCCGGGAACAGTACTCCATCACCCGGAGAGGCCCCTCGTTGCAGGGCAGAAGGAAGCCGAGCCCTAAGTGGATGTACAATAAAGTGCCAACCTCCGTATCTCAAGGTAGGGGACAGTGTACAGTGTATGTCTAGTATGAGGCTCATGCGTACAACAAGCTTCCGCTTCCACACACACACACACACACATTTTTTTACATTCATACCCTTTTCTTGATACTTAATACACATCAGAAAGCCAGTGTCTTAGTAGGTATTGTGACAGAGTCTCAAACCAAGGTTGCGTTGTGGTTTTTATCCCAGTTAATTCGTGATAGATTAAAATTTACATCCCAATTAATTCTTGTACTGCCAAGAACAAGAATAAATTGGGTTTTTCTTACCCCTTCCAATACTTTCCAATGCTTGATACGTTCCCCCTACAGGCTTTCAAGGCTTGTGTAGTCAGGCAATTCAAAGGTTAGGAAGATTCTGCTTCTGTCAATGGCAATGGATTGTCAAGTTAGGCCTCCCACGGATATCTAGATATAAATTAGTTTAATTCACGATGAGAGCTTTTGAAAGCTTTTGAGCTTGTTGCTGCTTAGTTCAAATTAGCTGTTATAACTTTTTAATGCTTTTCCATATCATAGAACCAACTTTTTTAGTTGAAACAGCTGACTAAATTCTTTAATTCCCTTTAAATATGAATACTTATAAGGTTAACATGGGGAATTACAGAGCCACTGGGGCCGAACCCAAAAGGATTTTTGAGATAAGAATATGCCTATATGTTAATCTGGAATGTAAGCTATCATCATGCCAAATTTCAGCCTAATCCGTCCAGTGGTTTATGCGTGATTGAACTTCAAACACACAAACAAACAAACAAACACACAAACTTTCACATTTATAATATTAGTAAGATAAGATTATTTCGTCACCAGCATGGCAATCCATAAGGCCCATGTTATTAAAAAAAAAATTTAAATTCATCTTTTCTGTTTATTTTTTTGCCTATTTTAATTTATAAAGGGATTCTGCACACCTACAGAAAAATATCTTTCTTAGAGCCCTTTCACATTAGGTCGCTGCGACCAGGTGGCAGCCACCCGTCGGCCACCTGACCTGTTGAAAACGCATTGATCCTTATGGAGCCTTTCACATTAGTGCGTCGCAGCGACCCACCTTGGTGACAGCGACTCGGTCACCAGAGAACTGTGTCACCGGGCGGTGGCAGGGATCCTGCTTTTTAGCGATCCAAGTCACTAGCGGGGCATTGAAACATACAGAGCCTTTCACACTCGGTGACTGCAACCACGTTTTCGGAATGTGCGCGCAGCTTGTTTCTGTCGACTGTCTGCCTCCTTTCCTGTGTCTGTCATTTGCAGTCGACTCGTTTTGCTGATCCCACTGTTTTGAGGGTATCTTATTCGTATCCGTGTTGTTTAGTGTTTATTGTGCCTTTTATTTAATTTGATTCTACTTTAAAATGGATTATGAGAACTACACATTAGTTGCAAACAATGAAAGTCTGTTGTTACAAATAGACAGATCTCCTGAAATAGAGGTAGAGAGGTTACCACTGTTAAACCTGTTGTTGATAAACGAAAGAAGAAAGATAATTTGTGCAATGAAACAAAAAGTAAAAAAGAAGAAGTTTTGTTTCAAACGTGCAACAAAAGCAGAAGCATCAGGTCCTCGTCCTCATCACTTGATTCCATCTTGATGAATGAATGTATTTGTTTGTCGAGATAGCGACAGTGAATGGCAGAAGCAGATACACGTGGCAGGCAGACGACAAAAACAAGCTGCACGCGCATCGTGAGAACTCGGTCGCAGCCACCGTATATGTGAAAGGACAAGCGTGGCTGCCATCCGGTCGCAGCGACCTAATGTGAAAGGGCTCTTACAGTATGCATAGATTGTCCCTACGATGCATTCGAGCTGAGAAAAAAAGGATTTAAAGAAACATGCTTGCCTATTAATATATAGATAAATAGATAATTTTTAAGTTAATGTTTTTTAAATTGTCAGTTAAAATTTTGTTGTGCAAATGTTTATTTTTATGTATGCATTTTTACAGAAGTAAGCGTTTTAATACCACCATCCATATTGTTTTGTTTCTTATTTAAGCTTAGTTTTCACTTAACAAACCCCATTATACAACGTAAATGTCCATTTTTAAATCAGACCTATACCCCGTGATTTGTTTTGGTTTTGTTCAAAAGTGTTGACATCCAATTTGAAAAATAATTGCTTTTTTTAGTTAATGAAAACATTACATACAGTATCTACAGTGTTCTTTTCTGATATTATTTTCACAAAGCTCAAACCCCAGGCTCAAACCCTGCCAATCATAAATTTCCTTTGGCTGTGTGAATGCCTTGATTTGGTGATTTAGCCAAACTTTAAACTAATCCAGTTATCCAGAAAACAAAACGAGTTGGTCTTTTAGAAGAACTATTGCTATACCAAAGGGCTCCCTCTGTTAAAAGCTGTATGATAATTTAATTTTTCCTTTTAGATGGCCAAGACACAAGTCAGGAACCACTGCCGGAGTCGCCAAAACCAATGGATAAAGTAAGTTAATTCTGGCTTAAAGTTAGCGAACATGTATTTTACCCTAAAAGTGATACTTTAATTTAATTCACATTAAGTAACTGATTTCAATTTCAAACATGATCATAACATTCTTTGTTTGAAGTTCATTGTTGGTGATGGTGAGTTAATGTTGTTCACCTTATAAAGACTAACCTTTTATAAAGACACCTTTTATAGACTACCTTTTATATAGACACCTTTTATAGAGACTATAGTGTTTTGTGATTTGTTAGTATTTGCATGTTATTGTATCATGACTTCACTGCTATAGAGTGCATATTTTTTTGACTGCTACTCTCTGTAGTGTATTCCAACTTAGGTTGGGCGTTTGTGTATTGTTAGTTATAATGTGTTGGTTTTTTCACCTGAGGACGGGATCAGATTTCAGATACCGAAACGTTGTGTATTATTTTTAACCATCGAGATGGAAAATGTCCGCAATAAACCTTTGAACATGATCATAACAGTTTTAATTCCTTTTGAGAAAGCTGCTTCTCTTTTATATGATAAAGACATTTTATTTTACAAAAGAAAAAAATGGTAATAGACGAGCCAATAAAGAAGACCTTGGGGATTTTTAACGACACAACTGCGAACTCTTTCATAACCTACGCCATTAACCTTTAATTTCCAGCATCAAAGATGTACCGTAAACCCTCTTTTGGCTGATTCCAGGTCATAGTCATCTGCATTAATGAAAATCCAGATAATTTGAAACATTACAACCATCCGAATCAATTGGGACTATAACCCATTTGGATATTCAAAAATGTAGATGACTAGATTTTTATTTAAGTATAGGGTAGGTTTTTAACAGAAAATAGGCAGAGTCAAGCCAAACTTTAATGGTTAAGATTGCAGAACACGTCTGTGAAGATTTTGCAAACGAAAAACTCATGCTTTGGCCGTGATCATGGAAAACGTTGACAATGTTTCCGTGGATTTTGGATGTTGACGCGATCATGGTTTTGCCTTCTTTAACAACAATTCTTATTACTGTGGTTTGAAATTTTTTAATTTTCTCAGTAAGTAAGGATTGTTGGTGTTCGGATAAATGGAGTTCTACTGTAAACTCAAAATGAAAGGCAGCGCTACCCTTGAATAATGTATTTTGTATTTTTAAAACAGTAAGTGTGAACTGTGCAAGAAATATGTCTTTCTTTGACTGGGTTTGGGTAGCCTACTAATCTAGGTTTTATGTACTTTCTCATTTGCTGTAATGTTGTGAAAACTTTGATTTTACTAATCATAATAGACAACACCTCCAACAGTCCTAAGATAACAATATGTAGTTAACAGAGGTACATTCCTAAATTTTTTATTGACTGCTATCACATGGCTGTCCATATTAAGAAATGCATAAATCCAGAATATGAAGATTTACCTTGCCAAATCTGTTTTAAAAACCTATTTGGAAAATCTTTTGCTTAATTAAGTTTTAAAGCTTTCAAATCAATGTCTTATATATTGTTGTGTGAGTTATGTTGGATTGTCAGATGGTTAAAGTTTAATGTTCAGATCCACTCTGTGATCGGAAGAGATGACCAGACCAGTATTTGCTACTCAGTGAACAGCCGTAAGGACTCTGGGATCCGTAGTAACAGTCGGAAAAGCAGCATTCAGCAAATGGTAATATCTGTTGCTATACATCCTAGCCCCTAGCTATTAAGAAATATCCTTTTTATTTTTCATTCCACACTACGTTTTTATAACATCTCACCTATAGGTAGATAATTCAATGTCCTTTAAAATTTTAGTCGAAGCATTAGGCCTACCTTTGGATCGTGAAGTAGAACCTAAGGCTAGTATTTAGCTTTAAAGATAGTATGTAATTTGCTTGATTTGATAGAAAGTACCTGGGGACCGAGCTTTGCTCGGGGAAAATCATTCCCCCACTCTGCGATGCCAGCCTTTACTACTTCCTTCACCATTTCCTACGTCATGGACATGCTTCCATCCCTTCTCATAGCATTTCAGTATTTCAATTGCAGATACATAAATCTAACTGTTACAATTGGTTTCCAGTTCCCAGACTCCACACTGCTCGCCTTTACTACTTCCTTCACCTCTTCCTACGTCGCGGACCTGTTTCCCTCCCTTCCCATTGCATTTTAAGATTGCAGATACCTTAATCTAATCCTCATAAACAGTTCCCACATTCCGGAATGCTCGCATTGACTACTTCCTTCACCACTTCCTATGTCTCGGACCTGTTTTCCTCCCTTCCCATAGCATTTTAAGATTGTAGATACCTTAATCTAATCCTCATAAACAGTTCCCACACTCCAGACTGCTCGCCTTGACTACTTCCTTCACCACTTCCTACGTCTCGGACCTGTTTTCCTCCCTTCCCATAGCATTTTAAGATTGTAGATACCTTAATCTAATCGTCATAAACAGTTCCCACACTCCGGACCACTTACCTTTACTACAGTATTTCCTTTACCACTTTCACGGACCTGTTTCCTTACCTTCCCATAGCATTTTAGAATCCCAATACTTTAATCTAATCATCATAAACAGTTCCCGCACTCAGGATAGCTCGCATTGACGACTACCTTCACCACTTCCTACGTCGCGGACCTGTTTCCTTACCTTCCCATAGCATTTTAGGATTGCAGATACCTTACCATCCTTATGGAACAGCTGAAGCCACTTTTATTGTTAGTTCTGTCTGGTTTTCTGTAGATGTCGTGTTTTGTTTACAATTTGTTTCTATTATTTTAGGGTTGGTTTCTCATTATTTGTGTCTCACTGTTTGGTTATATAGCCAACGATAGTAATATAGTAATATAGTACGGTAATATAGTGAACGAGTTATCGTTTATGATTAAATAGTATTATTTGGTTAAACGAGGTTTTAAATGACTGAAATAACAAGAAACAAATTGTAAACAAAGCACGACATCTACAGAAAACCGGACAGAACTAACAATAAAATTTGCTTCAGCTGTTCTATAAGGATGGGAAATCTACCTTTTTCTAATCGTCATAACAAATCCCACACTCCACACTGCTGGCCTTTGGCTACAATGTATCGAGTAAGCTTCAGTATAATCATTGCTCAATAGTAACAAGTGATGTTTTTGCTTTTGTACTGTATTTTGTAATTTCTAGTATACTGTGGGTAGATGCCTTTATGAACACATAAGTTACAACTTACAAGTCTTTTGTTTACTTTTTCCTTGATATTTAATTCAACCAACATGGTTACTTAGACATAAGACTAATGTTAAAAAAATGTGACTTTCAGTTTTATTTTCCTACGTAATTAGATTTTTGTTGGCAGTTCTAACTGCAGTAAACTTATTTTTAGGCCAAGAATAAACTATTTACATTTGAAGAAAATCATCGGAGCCGTTGTCGAGATCTTTGTGCAAGCAAGCATACAAGCAAACATTGCTTATATTAGAATATAGGATAGTTTTTACACCATAGACAAATTTTAAAACTGTGATGCTAAGCCGATTTATCTTTTTTTAAACTGCGTCATGTTAAAAGTTGAACTAAACTGCTCATATGGACAACAAACAGTAATATCTTCACACAGTTTGACCCTTAAGTGCTTCCCAAAATGGTTGTGTCCAGTTAAGAGCAGTTGTGTAAAGTTTCCAGTGTGGGAATGCTCACCAATGTCGCGGGAAAATACTGGTCGCTTACTGCTATATAGGTTCTTTAGAAAAAACAGTGTGAAAACACCGTTCTAAACCGTTCCCGTCCCACTTCACCACTGTTTAAGAGTGCTACAGCAAACCTTATCTCATTCTTCATGAGAATGGCTGATGATTTTGATAGGGTTTAGCTGTGCTCAGAGTTTAAACTTTAATTTGTAAAAAAAAGTCAACTACAGTAGACTCCCAAGAATCCGGACACCTTTTAACCGGACCACACTCAGTAGAAGTGACATCTCTTTATCCGGATAATTTTTATCAGCACATCGGTTCAACCGGACTAGATCGGCAGGAAGTGGGCGGTACTGAAACGACTGTTCTCGTAGGAAAGATTTGAGACCAGTGATCACGTGTCTAAATACAATGCTCTCCTAATTTTAAGTCAAATACTGTACAGAGTATGCATTTAAACGGTCCGTTTTAATAAGATTTTGGGAACGTCGGTTTAACCGGAAAACCCGTTATCCGGACTGGCCTCGGTACCGAGGAGTCCGGATAAGAGGGAGTCTACTGTACAGTTGCCCTATGTCTACTAGCTGAATCAATTTTTTTTTTTAAGTTAAGCGTAATGTAAAACGTATGTTTCAGTTTACATCAACCAACGGAGCAACGCAGAATGACTTGCTTGCTCACAGGGTCAGCGGATATTACACTTCTAGTCAGTCATCGGTTAACGAAGGTCAGTGCATTTGAATTAATACCTTTGAGGTTTATTTAAATAACCTTTAATACATATAATATATATATTAATATATTTAATAACCTTTACCATATAGATTACTTTTAATGGTACTTTCATATTATACGAAAGCCACTTCTTTTACAGTGCGATGCGGTGGTTAGGTTAAACATATTTATGATGGGTTATCATAAATATGTTTGTAGGTCTTTCCTCGTTTCGTTATATCGAACGATACCAGATGAGTCATGAAAAATTTATGATAAGCCAACCTAACCTAACCGCCGCAGCGTGCTGTATAAGGGTGACCTCCGTATTTAATAGGAAAGTACCCTTTTAATTCTGTTAGAGGTACAACTGCTCAACCAAACGCAGCCCCTACCAAACGCCTGGCCTATGATGCTACATAGGATATAAGGTCCTAAATTTTAAGTAATATTGTAGGAAATTATTAATATGACAGATTCCTAAATTTTAAGGGATATTGTTTTAGCAACAGTAGGCTTACGTAAAAGGAAATAGTTCAGCTTGGTACAATAAATGCAACAACTTTACACTATATTTAAACAATTTGTTTACTGTCATTGGTAAAATATTTAACCAAGGAAGGTTTGAGATGGATAAGAGATGTTTAAAAAAAGTCCCTTTTTAAAACGTTTTTATTAGCTCGCTTTCTTGTCCGGTACAAATTTTGCAATCAATTTTATACTAACTTCCCGATGAGCTAGAGACTTGAAACTTGAAACATAGCTCACAAATGGAAGACAATGCAATATTATATCACTTAATTTTAGGGATGGACGAGATTGGATTTTGAGTTCGAGACGAGACGAGACGAGATTTTTTATTTCTCATAAAATTTCGAGACGAGATCGAGACGGGATTTCCCTTCTCATACACAACGGGAAATGCACGTTCGGAATTTTTATTTGATTTTGTAACATTGTTAGATTACTGTTTAAATAGAAAAATAATGATAATAGGCAAGAATATTTACAATCTTTTATTAAAAAACATCAGCATAACACATTTTTATTAATCACGCCTAAATTATTAAAAATGCCTACGATGAGAAACATAGTGATATCAGTTAGGATAGAACTGAAGACCAGACCTTATCCTAAAATAAAATAAATCATAAAATAAAATATTAATTTTTATAAAATAGTTACTTGTTTTGACTTTTTTTATAGTAATAAAACATTCCTCACACTGCTAACACTTAACAAAACTTCTCAAATGTTATTAAAATAATTAAAGTAATATTTACATTTGAAGAATTAATTAAATAAGAACTCCTTCACAAAGAAAACGCAACTACAACACGCTCCTGTATTGCGGGTATTGCATTGACTTTCTGCAGGCGTTTTTAATTTTTTTTTTTTTTTTTTTTTTTATTCTCGTCTCGATAAAAATCTCGGCCAAAAAAAATCTCGTCTCGTGTAACGAGATTTAAAATTTCCCGAAAATTTCCCGAAATTTCGATACTTGACCATCCCTACTTAATTTTCATATTTCCCTTGGGCTACGCCCCACGGGCTTGTTTTTATTAACTCCCTTTCTTGAAAATTTTGATACTTCCCGATGAGCTAGAGACTTGAAACTTGAAACGTAGCTCACAAATGCATACCAATGCAATATTATATCATTTAATTTTCATATTTCCCTTGGGCTACGCCCCATGGGATTGTTTTTATTAGCTCACTTTCCTACAAATTTTGATATCAATTTTAAACGAAGTTCCCGATGAGCTAGAGACTTTAAATTTGAAACATAGCTCACAAGTGGATGACAATGCAATATTATAGCATTTAGTTTTCATATTTCCCTTGGGCTACGCCCCACTGGCTTCCAAATTTTTCATGTTTACATTTTTAAAGAATGTAAATATATCAATTAGCCTAATTAAAGTCAGCTGTAAATACTTAAATTTGACAGTTCAAAAAGCAGAGGTTAAGAGGTACAGGTTCTGCTCCCAAGAGATTCTTTATACAAACAAACATTTCAAAATAAAGATATACAATCTGATTGCAGATATAAAGGTGTTTGTTAATAATGCCATTTGTTATTTATTAATATTCTATAAAGTAAACAATAAATTAAATAGATTGATATATTTATAGTTAGTAGGTAGGCCATACATTCAATCTAATACATAATTATACGAAAATAAATTCAAATAAACCTTAGATTTCCCACATGCCTCTGTCCTAATCTGATATAGATGCATGAAATAGATTTAACATCCACACACATTAAAAACTAAAAAGTAGAAAATAATTTATATATAAAAAACTTTTTTAAAACAAAACGTTTTTAAATGCACTAAAAAGTAGAAAATAATTTATAAATATGTGGAGAGTTTAAATACTTGTAAGATTTAAAACGAAAAACGTGGGGTGCACGTAATTGATAATAATACATTAGTTCAATAGGTGAAGGTAATTGTAAATTATCTATTGCATGCACCCCACGTTTTTCGTTTTAAATCTTACAAGTATTTATACTCTCCACATATTTATAAATTATTTTCTACTTTTTAGTGCATTTAAAAACGTTTTGTTTTAAAAAAGTTTTTTATATATAAATTATTTCCTCTTTTGTGGTTGAGTTTAGTGTGCCAGGATGGACTCATTCATTCTGAAAGCATGTTATCCCAACAAAAATCTTTTACTTTAAGGCCAAGGATGTTTGTTTAGGCAAAGGAAAAGGACAAAATGTGCTTATTATTTGAAATAAACCCCCAATTTGAAACAGAATTTGAGACCTTAAAAAATTGTACACATGACCTTATTTTATCTGGTCCTGGACCTAAAACTTGCTTTAAAGCCCAGCCCTTCACACTCAACTAATACTTTGTGCCCCCCCGAAAAAAAAAAAAAAAACACAACTATCAACACCACTTTTTAGCCACTGACTCCCTAATAAAATAATAATTGATTGCTTAACAATGCTTTTAGCTAATAAAAACAACACTGCCAAACACAATTTCAAGCCTAACACTCGGGAAATCCCAAAATTCCATTTTAAAAGAAACCAACACTGGTATTTTGTCCTAGTTTCTAAGAAACTAAACAACTTTTAAATATCTGCTGTTAGGCAATTCATTCAAATTGCAAACGTAAATTGTTTCAGCTTCTAAATCAAGCCATCTTTTCTTTTCGAAAGAAGAATCTCTGTATGAATATTGTCAAATTAAAATCACACAAACGTAAACATTTAAAAAGGATAAAACATGCACAAGATACATTTATGGATCAGTAACAAACGCCGCTAACCCGACGGAGTTTGAGCCCAGACTGCATGTGGTCCGTTAACTTTTCACTACAGGAATTGTGTTCCTCTCTATGATGCTTCCCCTCTCCAGTACAATGAAGAAACTAAAATATTTTTAGTTTTAACTCAGTGCCTTTGACTAATAGGATTATTTATATCTTAAAAATATATTCTTTAAGATGAATCACAATGTTGACCCTCAGCCGAGTACATGGGCATAGATTTTTATCAAGAGTACAGGACCCATCAGAATCAGTGAAAATATATTCCTCTGAACTCCAAAAATATATAACAGTGGTCTCCCCCTAACAATGGTCTCCCCTCAAACTTTCGTACGCAACATTTGATCGATGTGGCGTCTCCAAATTTGTCCATCGCACTGTTATATATTTTGCTATTTTGCTTCTGTACTTTTTATTTCTTTCCAGTCCAACTCTACTTCCCGTAGCCAGTCTCGACCGAAAATAGGATCCAAGTGACCGTCTACAATATAGAGTTTACCCATAAAACTCTGGCTTTTGTATGAACATTGAACAAACACTACGCCAAAGATTACATATGCTACGCAAAATAGATATTGCAGCCAAGCCATTTTTGTGATATAAATTTCCATGCGAAGCCTAGCGAATGTCTTCACAACCTAAGACTTCATTGCCGACATGACCAGCTGTTATTTACGAATTTTTTTGTTGTTGTTTATTGTTATGGTTAACCTATATTTGTGGTTGTTTGCTTATGTAAGTAACAGCAGGAGGTTTATTAGAAGATGGATTAGCAAGAGTGAAGAAGTGTTAGTATTATGTGTAGTGAATTACAATTAATTGTATTATGATGTGGATATTTTAATGAACAATACCAGATATTAAGACGAGTGTATGAGATAAATGGCAAACACGGCAATCAAAAAACGGAAAGGTCTTCCCATCAGTGCTTTACCATCCACTTCCACACATCCACTTCGTTTAGTGTGTGAACTGCATTTTGAACCTAACTGTTTTATAAATAATATGAGAAGTAAAAAGGAAGCTTTCCCGACATGACTAGTTATGTACTAACAAACTATGGATGTACACCAGTTGTCACTCCAGTCTGCACTCATTAACTGCACTGCCTCTACAGACGATCACCACCGTCTCGCGGCAGCCCCTTCACCACATAGCAATAAATTCACCAGTATTTCTACTGTTAATGTCTCATTATCTTTAGAGTCTGCCTAAAAACAGTTATGATAGAGTTCCGAAATATATTATTAACTACCTTCATCATACTATTATGCAATAATTTGTAATTTATTGTCAATTGAAAATAGACGTACGTTGAACGTTGTAGTTTAAGTGTTTATCAACGAAGACCACTAGAGGGAAATAAAGTATCCTAGGCTATATATTTATGGGGTTCAATTTTGGAGAGGGTGGTTAGGCAATTTCTGCTCCAGGGCGCTCCAATCCAAACCTGGCTACGCCAACACAACAGGAACTTACCATAGCTATACTGGGAAGGCGAACGAAATGCCTGTTGTAAAATGTAGTTACAGGCTTCCGGTACAAAATATTCGACCTATTGTTTAATATAATGTTTAAAACAGGCCATAATAGTAAATTGGGATGTCGGGTCACTCGGGTTAGTTCACTTTCGTGTGATTGAGAGAGTGTAACTGACCTCCAATTTCCAACCTAAATATCGTTTTTACGTGGTAAAGATAACCTCTTTAATTTATGTACAAC